GCTAAGAAGATCCCTAAAATAGTAAGAGAAAGGTACTGTGCACAAACCCAGAAACAAGCCTTCTCCAAGAACCTGCCATTCCACTTATCCCTAAATGTTATTTCTGATCACAGAGCACCATTGCAGACACATTAACGGGCAGCAAGAACGTCTTGTCTTGAAGATGCATCTGCTAATCCAGCTGCAGAAAGCAATGATCAGATTTAAGAAAAGAAACCAATGAACAGTATTTCAAAACAAACGCCCAGGAAGAAAACAACTGCAATACTCAGCATCTCAAGCGCTCCAGGAGGAGATGATGCACAGCCTCTGAGGGGTGTGAAAGAGCTCTGCTGTGTACCCACTTGTCAATAAGAGTTCACTCCGAGCTACAAGTTGGGGCATTTCCTTAAATCTACCTTCACATCTCCATGGTAGTTCGGCTGGCTTTTATTCAAAACAGGCACTAAGGGCACAGCTGCACTTCGGTCAGTCTTAGAGGAGAGAGGTGTTAAAAAACACACCTACAAAACCTCCAGGCTTCACGCAAGCCTTGGGAGCACCCTTTAACTGGGGCAGTGCATTCACAAAGCACTATCTTTACTACCAATAACTATGAATTTTGAGTGAATTACAGGAACATAAGACATTCTTTAACATTTACTGCTAGAAGTTCACATATACAAAGCGAAAGAAACTAGGAGCAAATAAATAGGTTAATGAATGCAAATTGAAATAGCAAAAAAGAAGGTAAGGTCTCATAAAAAAAAAAATAAGTCCCTGGCTTTTGTCCCCCAGGTAAAAATTTATTCAGAGATGTAAATCCAAAGCAAGCAACATTTTGGGAAAAAATAAGTATGAAAAATAAACATACACTGAAGAAGTTTCAGTCTGTTATGCTAAGCAGATTAAAAGCATATTCAAGTTGTGGTTAGAGACAGACCTTTTTTTTCCCCCCATCAAACACTAAACAGGTCTTTCAAAATACCAGTACAACATGAGCTCAGTTCAAAGCAGGTATCCCTGTGAGCTAGTTACCCACGCATTTTTCAAGCCAGTCTACAGATTTAAGCTGCAACATTCACAGAAATTATTCTGAATTCTCTGGATATCAAATGCATTTCAAAACTCTGCAGAACCAGTCCAGTTTCGTATTTTTACTGGATGCTCAGAACTGGGAGCATGTTCTGACTGGACACCTGTGGAATGCTCCAGCAGCAGACGGTACAAGATAAGAAATTCCCTGAACTGACAGGAAATATTTCTATCATATCTGTGCATACAGACAAGTATTTTGATTTAGAAGGGATCATCCTTTGTCTCAGGAAGGTGGCAGTGCCTGGGAAGCCTGCAGTGTGTCCCCCAGGTCAAACAGAGCAACTGTTGTTCCAGCAAGGTGCTGCAATTCAAGAATGCTATTGCTTCAAATCACCCGTTTACTCCTGGTTCAAAAGCAAACACCTGCCTCCCTCCAAAAACTTCACACCTTGAATCCCCAAAGCAAAACACATCTTACAGACAACATTTTAAAAATTAAAAAACAATCGATGTGGCACAGGAGGCTGGAAACAAAATCCCATCTCTGCTCTGTCTCCAATACATCAGTTAACAGTCTGCGCCCTACCAGCTCTACAGATCACGTCACTGCTATTTATTTCATTCTCCGGTTACCTCTACCCCTGGCATTTGATCCAGTTTATTAAAATCTGGCATATCAGCATACCTGAAGAATAGAGCTGGACAGGAAGACTGCACCAGGATCTAGGAGAGCCGTGCTGTTCCCGTGACAAGCGCACAACATTAGTCAAGACTTTCCACCTCCTACACCCACATTTTCTCTCCCATTCTTGGTATGTTCAAACAGATGCAGCAGTTACCAAGTAAATATCCCTGCCTCGATGCAGGTCCCTGCATCTTACAGGAACTGATGATTATCCTGAGAGTTTTGTGATTCCATCTTGTTATGCACTATCTGTTCTGCTCCGTTTCCCCGTCTCCACCATTTACAAAGATTAAACTGAATTAATTTACATATTTTGGGGTTGGGTTTTTGGGGGGATGAATTATGAAACAGTTCCCTTGGGATTAAGCTAAAGCACATATTCAGGTTTCTGAGCAGGCTGCACTGTGAATTTGCTGCACTCTGAGGTCATCCCCCACTGCCTTCAAAAGTATCTCTGAATGGCCATCAAAGCTGTAGGCCAAATGCCCAGTGCCACCAAAATCTGCTGCCATGCACAAGTCCTATTATATGACAGTAGGATCTGGAATGCTTCAGAAGCAGCATTCCCCATCACTGGGAGTAGCAAAATCTAACTGATACAACGTACCTGTCATGCTTAGTACCTAACAGAGGATTACAAGTAAGTAACATAAGTCATGAGCGGTGATAACCCCCAAAAGAATAAATATTCAGGAAAGTCATCTTCAAAATACAGTATATTCAAAACAGCCTCTGGAACCCATTAACCTATGGGAAGGAATCCTAAAGATTCCTTGATGCAATACAAAAGCAAGTAGTACAACCAGGAAAGGTACAGCCTCCAAATGTGAGCTCCTCCATCTTACAGTCTATCAGAGAAGTGCTATTCAAACTCCTTTGGATTTAATGACACTACCCACACCGATTCAACAGGGACACCAGGAAAAACGCCTGTTTCTGAAGCTACTACAGTTCGCCAGCAGCCCACTCTGAATACCAAAAAAAAATTACGCAGGAAGCCACTGAAACCAACAAAAACTATTGGCAAAGAAAGTATAAATATACAACAAAAAGGACCTGGTGCTGGTTTTAAACTAACAGTAATAGATGTCATTGATTTATGAGGTCCAGTGTCATGCAACAGGCTTGAAAAGTTCCTTCACCAGAGAGGTCTCATAGAAGTATAATGATACATTGTTTGATACAGACCCTGAATGCTGAACACACATCATACAACAACGAGACAGTATATTAATATATAAATTTTATCACAAAAAGATGAAATCTCCATTGGAAAGAAAAATAACGTGAAATCTAATGACTTTTGGTTAAAAAAAGCAGTGACAGAAGCGATTTTTGAACGATTTCTTCTGCATTTAAGAATACCAGTATTTCTTTCTGTTCATTAACTGTTCCTCTCATTTTTTCCCTGGTATAAACCAAAAACAAATAACAAAGTTTAATGAAAGCTACCTACAATTTGTTACTGTATTTTCAGTTACTTAATCTCTACATTATTTTCCTTTCAGCTATTAGTGGCAACAGCAACATCAGACACTATGTATTCTTCAGCAGTACCCAGAATTATGACTACATACAAAATCCATAAAGCCAGCATAATACGAACTTTTATTCTGCAGAATTGCCTGGAGTTTTTTGGTTTTTTTTAAACTGCAACACACTGGGCGTAATTCAGCCAAAAGGAGTGAGTACATAGGAGATTTACTGAGAAAAATCTGAGACTTTACTCAGAAAACTGCGACTTAACATCATTACTGAAATTAAAGCATAAGGAAAAAATGGGCGATAGCGACAAACAGGGACAAAAATTAAATTAGATACTTGATAAAGTGAATAACTATACTGACTGCTGTGATGTCTGGACAATAAAAGGATGCTCTAGATGTTCAAAACCAGCAATGTCCTTCATTTACAACCCGAACATCACACGCGAGACAAGATCACTCTCCAGACAGTTGTTACTTAACTCGTGCCAGAAGATGGTAATTTCATTACAAAGCAAACTGCGATTCTTGGATTCCTTCCAAGAATTTCAAAGCGAGAAGGGCAGAAAATAACACACCTACAGAAAGCACCGTTCAATAAATCTTCTTAACTTAAAAAAGTTCTCGGGTGCGCGCCCAGGCAGCGTTACCAGCACCGCGGGAGCGCCCGCACGTCTCCCCGGTCCGGGCTCCGCGCAGCGCACGGGGCAGGGCCGGGCACCGCCGGCAGCCCCGCGGTGCGGGGAGAGCCCCGAGCCCGCCCGGCCGCGCTCCCGCCGGGCCGGACCCGCACCGCGGCTCCCGCTCTGCTTTGTCATCCCCCCGCCGCAGCGGGCGAGACGCTCACACCGCCGCTCCCGCAGCCCCGACACCGAGCGCGCCCGGCGGGACCGTCCGAGCGCCCGCGGGCTCCGCTCGCCCCGCGCGGCTCCTGCGGCGGCGGCACCGGCGCGGAGGGACCCGCGGCGGGATCCGCCGGGACCCGCGTCCCGACCCGCACCCGCGGCTTGAGGTGACCCCGGAGAGAGGCGCCGGGCGGCGGCGGCAGCTCCTCCTCACAAACAACTTGCCTTGGGTTTGTAGAGCCACTTTCTGAACCTGTTCATCATCACCGCGGCCGCTGACACCCCGCCGCCGCCGCTGCCACGGGGGGTGCCGGCTGCCCGCCCGAGCCGCTCGGGGGACGGGGGGCGAGCCCTGCCCCTCTCCGGGAGGCTCCGCCGGATGGTCTCCTGCTGTTTGGCCGCTCCAAGCGCGGTAGCGGCCGCGGGCGCTCCCTCAGCGCAGGGACCGAGCGGCAGCTCCGCGCGCTCCGCGCCGCCCCGACCGCCCCCAAAACATTGCGCGGCCGGCGACAGCGCCACCCCCGCCGCGCATGCGCGGTACCGCCCCCGTGCCCTCCCCTCCCCACCCAATCGGGTGGCGGCCCCGCCCACCAGGCCGCTCATTTGCGTAACACGCGGCGGGGGGCGGGCGGGCTGCGCGTGCCGCGGGCCACGCCCTGGCGCGGGGGATGTCGGGACTCGCAGTCCCTTGCGGTCTCTTGTAGTCTTCTCTGTGGGCTGGTCTGCGCGCGTCCACTCGGGGGATCTCAGACTCTGTTCGTGCCCGTCGGCTCTTCCCATGCACCGGCAACTGGCGGCTGACCGGCCGCTGGCTGCTCGTGAGCGCAAACACCGAGGAGGCGCGGAACGAGACGCTTGGCAACGGCGGCAAACAAATGCCACCATCTTGTTTCCCCCGCGTGGGTAGTTCCGCGCCCCCGGTCGCGCCGTCCCTCAGCGCTGAGGAGGGCGCGGCAGGACTACAGCTCCCAGCATCCCTCGCGCGCCCCTGGCAACGGCGCGAGCTGCTGAGAGCAACTGGGAACGCGACTGCGAGAGCAGCGAACAGCCAGGGACGGGACAGGGAGCACCGGGGGAGCCGGGAACGGGAGCGCAGGGTTCGGCCAGGGACGGGACAGGGAGCACCGGGAACAGCTAGGGACAGGACAGGGAGCACAGCGGGCAGCCGGGAACGGAGCGCCGGGAGCAGCGGGAACAGCCAGGGACAGGACAGGGAGCAGCGGGGGCAGCTTGGAGCGCCGGTGCAAGGCAGCTGTGGCCGTACGTGACTCCTCCGGAAAGAAAAGCGGGTACAGTCCCTGATGTGTGAGAGTGACGGGAGCTCTGGGCAGGCTCATGGCTCCTTCACTTGTTTGTTATCATGTAATCACAGATTCACAGAATAGTTTGGGTTCGGAGGGGCCTTAAAGCCCATCCAGCCCAGCCCATGGGCAGGGACACCTTCCACTAGACCAGGTTGCTCCAAGCCCCATTCAACCTGGCCTTGGACACTTCCAGGGATGGAGCAGCCACAGCTTCTCTGGGCAACCTGTGCCAGTGCCCTCACCACCCTCACATTAAAGAGTTTCTCCCTAATATCTAATCTAAACCTCCCCTCTTTCAGTGTTCATTTTTATTATGTTTTCATAAATGCAATAGAAAAGATCAATGGGGACTGTGTTACTCTGTGGAGGGGATTGCTTTGCTATCTGAGATTTTGGGCAAGTAGCAAACCTTGGTGTCCATTTGCTAACCCACCTTATAAATATACAACTTATTTGTAAAAGGGTTTGCACAATGAATATTTAATTGTTAAGTGCTACAAGCAAATAGTTTAAAAATGCCATGTCAAGTAAACCACCTTCAATAAGTACGCAAAACATTGACATTCATGCAAATTGAAATGAAGATCCGGACTATAGATACTCGGGGTGAACATTTTCCACCTGATGCCTTGCTTCCTTAAGGGAAGAATGTGCTAAAAAGAGGCCCCGTGCCCAGAACTGCTCTGAGTGATGCTCAGCAATGCAGAAAAGTCCAGAGTAAATAAGAATGTCAGGATGTAAACACTGGGCAATTGTACCCTGTATGAAAACCATCGGGACAGTCGTACCCTGGATTAGTGGCCCTGTTTCTAGCACACAGCTGAGAAACACCTCATTCCATTTTGAGCAGTAGCTGCTTGATCTGACTGAATTTTGCAGGGAGGCTTAGTTCAGCTCTTTTTAAGGACAGCTTTCATCAGAGGAAATGCAATCGCAGTCTTTCTAGGCCAGGAGCGTAGGAGTGAATGTAAAACCTGAAGGAATCTTTCAGGTCATTGAAACCAGTCCCTACAATTGTGGATAATCTTATCCTATGTAATTGCTTTCAAAATATCTCCAAGCTCCATTGTAAGAAAAGGGTAAGTCAGGTTCTCACCTCCCTTTAACTGAAATCTACAGCTGATGATGAAAGAAAATGTCTACCATTTTATACTCAGTATAAATTTATTTCATTTTTATGCGTAGCAATTAGAGTGTTCTCCTAAATGACTGTGTGGAAACAAGGGTGCATGTCATACCAAAAGCATATTATTCCCAATGTGTCTGTTTTAAAACATTGACAATAATAATAGCAGCATGTTTAAATACAAGTGAAATTCTGTTAAGAACTCGTGTATGTCCGGAGATCTCAAGGCATTACTACGTCTTAGTTTTTGTATTCCAGTTTTTGGTTTTAATTATTGTTATTTGGGGGGGAGGGGTGACTATCAGCATGTACGGAACATGACAGCTCAAATTTCTTTCTGCTGTGCCAGAAGAAAAAATATTTGTCGCTGGTAGATCTGTTGGAGCCTGAATTACGATTCAGCCTGAAGTACAGAGGTATTTCTCTCTCGCTCATCCAGAATCCCTTGTGAGTGTAAGAACCTTGGCAGGTTCTTACCTGAGAAACAAATGATTCTCAGAGGAGTGGAGAAACAGCAACTCCCCTGTGACAGAGAAACAGTAGTGCCTCTTTCTGTATTTGTCATCCCTTCTCATGTTCCAGCCCTGTTTTGAGGGACTTTTTTTTTTAATTGGACATTTTGTCTTGATCATACCAAGTAACTGGATGCCTGTATTGAACATAATCACAGACAAACTCTTTTCAGCACTTTAGTAATTAGAAGTGCTATTTAGACAGTTTTTATTGAGTATGGTAATGCTGAAAGGCAGAGTACAGAACCACTGTATCTGGAAATGTTATGATATCATTTTAAAGCAAGAAATTAATTATCTTTACCACAGTGAGAATTAATCATCTTGATCAAGCATTCTTTTCTGGCATCAAAATATGATGATATATAAAATACAAGAGCTATTTTCAAAAACATATTTTATTTTCACCACTGAAAATTACTTTTGTGCTCTTTTTTTTTTTCCCATTGCTAAACCAGATTAATGACTTTCAGGCCTGATCATTGCTATCATTGGCCTTTCATACACCACCACATGTGCATGAGCAGGAACAAATGCATTGTAGTTCTTGCCATGTGAACATTAAAATCAAGGTAACCACTCCTACAAATTCTCAGGCATACGAGTAAGACATCATTTGAGATGGACAGAATGCAGTCATTTCACAAACAAAGCATCAAATATAACAAGCACCCACCTGCTGAGCCTTCAGAAACCTTGACAGTGACCCAGACAACTGATGTGACTGTGGCCCAGTTACTGACCAACACTGTCTCATTGCTTCCTTATAATTCCTCTCTCATCCTGTTCTCTTGTTTTGGAAAGTTGGGTTTTAACAGCAATGTGTGATGAGATTTAATTTTGCTTTCTGTTGCATCTCACTGGAAAGAGTAGTGTGTTAAATAGGACCTGTATGGCACACAGGCAAAAATTCATACTTTTCTCTAGTATTACCTTTAGTTATATTTTGTCAAATAGCCTGGCACAGGTTACTTTTGTCAAATACCTAACCATTTAGGTATCATCCTAAAGATATTTTAAGATGTTTACAGAATAAGAAATATGTCATTTTGTTGAAATATGTAAGAAATATGTATTTTATTTTATTGATGTTTGTACTGTATTTTCCTTTCTCCTGTTAACTGTTCTGAGTAACTGTGATTTTGAAAGCTTGACCTAAATGTTCTCTTCTATGTTACTGCAGTATCTTCTGTATGAGCCTATCAACATACATTATGCCACAACTGAAGGGGGCATGAAAAATTAAAGATTTTCTGTATTTATAGGATTCTCCATGGTGAAGATGGTCAGACATAGAGAACTTATTGCAGTAATAGTGCAACAGCTTGACAAGTTTAACCCTGAAAATCAGAACGTGGAGGATTTCTTGAATGAATCAGCTGTGATGTTGCAGGTATATTAAGTGTCAGTTCATCCTACATAGCTTACTTTGTTTTACTATGTGATTTAAAATATAAAGATGTCTCTTTTCTAACATGTTGTAGTAACTTTCATTGATTTTTCTTACAGTGACATTTTTCATTCATGAGTAAAGTCCAAATTTCTTACAGTTATCACCAAAAAATAAGGCAGTAAAGATCAGAGTGGTTAAAAAACTGCTTGGATAAAAACAAAAAAACAGCAAGGTAACAACCTTCTAAAATGGATCTGACAGTGATAGAGAAAACTTCTGTTCCACTTCTGACTAAGCTGTTCTGCAGTTTCTTATTCCTTTCTTCCTTCCACATAGAAGTTTCTGACAACCCCACCCATTTGTATGTACAAATGCAGTTCAGAAGCTGACTCACAGGATCAGGTACTCTTGCATTGAGGACATAAGTGACCATCAGAACAGTGGCATAGAAGGAAAGTGGCAGTAAATCAACTACCTGATTCTAATCGAATACTGCAAGTAACCAGACCACGATTTGCCAATATGTAGCTATAGTGGCTGGAGCAGTTCCCATCCTTTCCTGACCATGGTCTGTCGCCTCTTCCCATCTCTTTATCCCCAGTGTCGCCCTGACTTGTGCTGAGGCAGCTACTGGATTGAATCAGCTTTAGAAAGTCACTAAGGGAAGGCAGTGATATTGTTTAGACTGCCACGTGTTATCAAATGACGTTGTTGGAGCTCTGATTCCACACTGCCATGTAGCTCCAGTACTCATTTCCACTTCTGACAATAAGGTCTAAACCATTTCTGTTCCTGTTAGATGGTCTGTTGCATTGATTTTGCATAAACACAAATGAGTACAAGAATATAAAATTATGGAGGTGTGATGTGAAAACCAGAGGCTGAGGCAGTGGCTCTATACACATTCCTTGGATTCTTGCTTTCTTAAACAGTTTTCACTCAGACCCCTAGTTTCTGCCTCTGCCTTCCTGCCTTGTAGTACTGCCATAACCCTTTGTGCATTCATATGCTGAATTACATCAGGGAACTGATCCAGTTTCAAAATAATCCTTTTTTCACTGGGCTGAGAGCAGGTAAATTCAGCTACCACTCCTTCCAAAGTAAACACTTGTAAAAATGAATCTTCAGATCATTGTTCTTCTCAGTCCAGGAAAGGTGAGACAAAGACAAAAGAAGCAGTAACTCCATTACAGAAACATGAATCTAAATTTTCATTAAAAATCCTTTTAAAAGCGGAAGAAAAAGGAGGATAGCTGATGCCAAAGTTAAGGCCAAAATCTCTGGGATAGTTTCAGATCGCTTACTACATAATAATAATAATAATCCAAGAAAGTAAAAAGTAATATATGTGTTTATATAAAATTCATCTTTATTTCAGTACCAAATGGGTGATTATAATTCATCATGAAAAATTCCTTCCTTTCTTTTCTGTTTCATAGTAGGCATATGATCCTGAAAATATTGCAGCATTTTTGTACACATGATTTCCAGGCTTGACCACTTACCAATTAGCCAGTATGAACTGACCCATGCAGAAACTTCCTTCAGTTTGTATCCTGAATGATGCCATCACTCTAAATCACAGACTTGGCCCGTGCCTGTACGCCCCATGCCAGCAGCCTGACAAATAGCAAAACTCGTGGTGTGTACTGACCAGACAAAAATCAGGAGGGTCAGATTCCAAGAGCACAAATCTAAATAATTGCAAGACACAGCTCTATGTTTTTCTATTTACTGATTAGATATACACTATATCAGAGTTTTCTACAAGTTGCTATCTTCTGTTCTGTTAGACTTTTCTAATTGGTGAGTAGTTTTCCATCCCCTAAAAGTGCAGCCAGGTTCCAGTCACTGTCACAGTGTATGTTTCATTCATACTGCAGATCTTTATTGTATTTAGATCTTTAATAGTCTTTGTGTCCATTTAATGCGATATCTGAAGTGTCTTGTTTAGTTCTTTGATAACCTGTTGATGTTCCACATAAAATATGCTCCTTAGCCTATTGTCTAGCTTTCTGGGGTTTTTCCTGGTGAAACCAACAATTTTGGGCTAGATCATTGCCCTCAAAATAAAAACACAGTACACACATTCATTCCAAAATATGTTCAAAGGAGTTCAGTTCCCCGCTAGCAGGGGCTGTAGGAGCCACTGTGATGCCAGTCTTGTTAAGTGTCAGATCCTGGAAATATGTGCCTCTGACAGCCACACATTCTCACCTAAACTGCAAGGAGCAAAGGACATTTTGCAGAGCAAAACCTTTGTCAGAATAAGGTAGGTTTTAAGAGCAATATAAATGTATGTATGATTGAAAGTAAACAAAATTACTTCTTTGGAAATCTAATAAATGAACTGAGGAGATGGCCATCCTTGGCTGATCAGAAATGGGAGACGACATCAGTAAAAAGTAAGAAATTATAGGCAGAATGGAACTGAGTTGTGAAGGGTCTTGACAGGCAGCTTCAGTTCTGTGTGCTAGAATCAACTGTGAGATGGTAGGTGGAGTAAGTGGGTCAAATCAATGGACTATCAGAACAAACTTAATAGCATTACAGATGGCTGATTCGCTAAAGACTGGGTTAGTTATACTCAGGAAAGAGATGTTTATTGGAATAAAATAGAATATTTTGAGACACTACCTTAGATTTTTAGCTCTGAAGCAATAGGAAAATACTACTTGAAACCTACTGCTCAAAAAGAGTGAAGAAGATGTGCATGTAAACTGGTTATGATATCCTGGGGAGTAGTCTGCGTGAAAAATGACCTCTGAGGTTATGAGCTTGACTGACAAGCAGGGTGGCAATAGTACCAAAAATGAGGAAAGAAATAGCATAAGAGTCTGAAGTTTTGTCTTCACATTGTTGAAATTGAGCTGACAACAACAGCAAGGAAGTGTCACAGAGAGAGGCCAGCATCCTCGACTGAAGTGTAGGCTTCTTATTTGTGTACATGATAAATGTGAATATGTTATGAAAGGAAGCTGGATGTAGTCCTAAGGGAGTGAGTCTGGAAGGCACAATCTGTCTTGATCCAAATATCCCTGTCATCCATCTACCAGCGGCATAAGACCATTCTTGTGGGAATCCTTGCAAATTAAGGCAGTAAAAATGGCTGTTCAAGGGAGGCACAGGAAGAGAAGTGAAAGTAGGAAAGCAAATATATTTTAAAATGAAGGACTGTACAACATGAATATGTAAAAAAAGAAAGAGGCGTAAAATACAATGGGTTGAAGCCCTAGGGTGAAAATATGCTTGCTTTGCAAATGACAGTAAGAAGGAACTTGTAGATGTTGATATTAGGTCTTTTACTAACTAATACAATTGGTCTTTATTGAAAGGTGACACAATCCAGAGCTTTGCATAGTCACCCTTCAGCAAGATTTTCTTTTTTTACTTCTAGGTGTATGTAAGGTTAGGGGTATAAGTAAAACAAAAGCCAAAATACATGATTGTGTGAAATAATACATTTTGCTCTTCCATTAAGACTGTGTAGAAATTTTTATGTTTTGGCGGTGCACAATGGCTGTACTGCAGAGGTTTGGAATACTCTGCTAGCCAAATTTGGGGTGGATGGAAGCAAAAGGTAAACTGAGTTCTGTTCCCAGCTCTGTCATCTTTCTATCCCTGTCCTTTCTCTTACCCTCAGGTTTGCTTGCTCAGGTCTCTTTATTTAACCTGTCCCAGTTTCATCTCTTCAAGTGGTTGATTCCATTGCTATTGTCACTGTGCAGCAAGTCCTGCTTGCTCTTTGGTCTTGTTCCACTCATCTCAAAGTTCCTGCACATTCAGTTCCAGTCTCTATTGTTCCTAAATTGAGTAAGAAATATCTCTCTTCAAACTGCAGCCCACAAGAGGCAGATATGACAGAGCAGGTAGGTGAGACAGGCTCTCTTCTATCAGTGTGAGCTCCCAGACTGACCCAGCACAGCTTGTCCCAGGCTCATCCTGTACTGTAGTGAAAGCTTTGCTTGCCCTGGGCTAGGCACAGTCAGGGCACACAGAATTTTCAGGGGAGTTCACTGATACAGTATAAATTCACACTAAACACATGCAAATGGGTGTTTTTTACTTGGCAAATTGTGCACGGATTTTCGTAACAAAACCATATGGCCAAATTTGTAAGGCACTGCTGACCCCTGTGTGCCACTTTGAAAATACATTCCTAGCTGTTTCCCTGCATTTGATTTGAAACTGCTTAATATTTCCAAATAGTCAGTTAAAACCCTGAAAGTTTGACATCTTTCTGTCAAAAATCAGTTACATGTATCAGGACATGTGAGTTACTCTGGTCTTACCGCTCTTGAATAACATGGGGGGTATCCATTAACTTCAAGAGAAGCAGAAGCGGCCTCTTTATTATTATTTTTATTTCTTAATGCATCTTTGTAATTCTCTTCAGTGTCCCACCTGCACATATTCTCATTCTCTCTTGTCTCAAGCTTTTAGACAGAAACCTCTTCTGCAAACATTTGGGTGTACATTCTTCTTCCGAGCGTATTCTGGAGAGACTGTCCGAAGTCAGAAGCATTACCCTGTACATATATTGGTGTACATGAGATAAGTAGTTTGCTGTCTTTATTTACAGAGGAATGATGGCATTAGATACTGCTGTCAAGAGGTATGTTTTTTCCTAGCTGTATGTAGGATTTAGCTTTACACACTCCATTTGCAGAAATGATGGCCGCGTGTCTAATCCCCGTGTACTGCTTTGAAAAATCACCCATCTTGCCCTGCATTTATGTAAGTGAGGTAGATCAAGCAGACACCATATCAAATAACTCTTGGGATACGTTTTTCTTTTTCACTCATTGCTCTTTGCCACCACCCAGTGATTCAATATACAAATAGGAAATCAGAAAATTAGTGCTAAAGGAACAGAAAGTGAATTTTAAAGAGCGGTAAACCATTGCTCTGGCGGTAGTTCAGGTCAGTCTGAACCACTGTATGTCTAAAGATAAAATGTTCTTTTAGTATGATGGAAATGTATAAAAGAATCGCTGAGT